TGGAACTTGCTATATATATAGCCAGGCTAGCCTAGAACTCATGCCTCCCAAGTGCAGTGACTAAAGATGTTGGGCCACCATGCCTGGCGCACAGTTGATTCTTACCTATCGCTATTCTGAAGTCTTGATCTAGTTAATCCTCATTCAATGATCTTTGCTAGTAGTATTAAAGGTATTTCAAGGTTTTCTACGTAAAGTCACATATTAAGGGTGGTTTTACTCCTTTTATGCCAATCTTTTTTCTCTTCTTTTCCCTCATTTTCTTTTCTTCTTTGTTTCTTTGCTTCTTTCTTTCTTCCTTCCTTTCTTTCTCTCTTCCTTTCTTTCTTTCTTTTTTTTCAAGACAGGATTTCCCTGTGCCGCCCTGGCTGTCCTGGAACTCACTCTGTAGACCAGGCTGGCCTCGAACTCAGAAATCCGCCTGCCTCTGCCTCCCAAGTGTTTTTGTTTGTTTTTTAAGACAGGGTTTCTCTGTGTAGCCCTGGCTTTCTTGAAACTCACTCTGTAGACCAGGCTGACCTCAAACTAAGAGATCTGCCTGCCTCTGCCTCCCAAGTGCTGGGATAAAGCCACCACTGCCTGGTTTCCTTTCTGTTGTTGTTGTTGTTGTTGTTGTTGTTAACTACAAGATCTTTCTTTGTAGCCCTAACTGGCCTGGAACTCACAGAGATCAGCCTGCCTCTGCCTTGGAAGTGCTGAGATTCTCATATCAAGCTATTTTAATTTTCTTGCCTTATCTCATTGGTGAAAACCTTTAGGCAACGGAGCAAATGGCATCTTTGGTTTACTTCTAATTTTAAGGTTTATTTCTAGAGATGCTGTTTGTGGTAAACTGTAATAGCTTATCACATGTGAAACCCTGAGTTCAATCCCCTGCACTTAAAATAGGAGAGACTAGGAATGATGCTATGCATGCCTGAGTATTTGTTTCTGAGTCATACCCCAAAGGCAAATAGATAAGTAAGGCTCAGGGCCTTTTTTTTTTTTTTTTTTTTAAATCAGGGCAGGAATGTAGCTGGAGGTCTCAGTGCTCTGTGTGTTCTTTATTATGTACTTGTGTGTGTGTGTGTGTGTGTGTGTATGTATGTGTGTGTCTGTGTGTGCATGTATGTGTGTGCATGTGCATGTATGTGTCTATATGTGTGTGTTTGTATGTGTGTCTGTGTCTGTATGTGTGTGTGTATTTGTGTCTTAGTGTGTGTATATGTGTGTCTGTGTGTGTGTGTGTGTATGTATATATGTGTGAATGTATATATGTGTATGTGTGCACATGTGCATGTATGTGTATGTATATGTGTTTGTATGTGTGTGTATATATGTGTTTGTGTGTGTGCATGTGTGTATGCATATTTGTGTGCATATGCATGTGAGTGTGTGCACATGTGTGTGTGTGTGTGTGCATGTGCGTGCAGAGGCGAGGTTGACATTGGGTGTCTTTCTCAGTCAGTTCTCCATCTTGTTTTTTTGAGGCAGGGTTTCTCACCGAGCTCTCCCATCTCCTGGCCAGTGAGCTCTAGGGGCAGTCCTGCTTGGCTCCTGGAAGGAGGATTACAGATGTGGGCACCACTGCACCTAACTTGTCCCACAGGTGCTGGAGAGCTTTTCACGTGTGTACAGCAATTTACCAACCAGCCCACACCCTAACCTGTGTTGTGTTTGAGACAGAGCCTGGAGCTGGCTGTCCAGTCCAGGCCAAGCCTGAACTCAAGAGCCTCCTGCCTCAACCTCACAAGAGACAGAATTATAGGCTTAAAGGGCCTCCATTTCAATCTTTCCTGTCACAGAAAAGGCTACCCCACACTGTGGTACTTTGACACACTAAGGTATGGCTGTAGGAGATGGAGAAGCCCAGTAGGACAACCTCTTCCTGACCTTCCTGTCCCTCCCCTGAAGCAGGCTATGAAATTCTGGACTCTTTCCCTTCACCTTCTGGCCCAAGGAAAGCCATAAAACCAAGGCAGAGCCTGAAATCCCAGCACTTGGGAGGCAGTCAGAAGGATCACTATAAGTTCAAGGCCAGCCTGGGCCACATCTGGAAATGCTGTCTCAGAAGATCAAACTAACAAAACCGTAGGAAGCCCCTCTCTGATCTCTCTCCCTGTGAAGCCCTTCTTGAGACAAGCATTCTGCCCTAAACTCCTAGGAAGGAATGCCACGTACAAGGCCAAACACCTCTGTACCCTTGCTACATTATGATTTTACTTGAAAAAAATAAAAGCAGGTCAGGCATTCTAGCACCTGGGAGACAAAGATGTGCTGATGGATCTTTTTGAGTCTGAGGCTAGCCCAGTCTACAGAGTAAGTTCCAGCCCAGTCAGGATTGCATAGTAAGACCCTGATTATTAAAACAACAACATATAAAAAGATAAATAGATAAATAAATAAATAGGGTTGGAGTGATGGCTCAGCAATAAAAAGCACTGATTGCTCTTCCAAAGGTCCTGAGTTCAATTCCCAGCAACCACATGGTAACTCACAACCATCTGAAGAATGGCAATGTATTCACATATATCAAACAAAAAAACAACAAACAAACAAACAAACACATTCCCAGTCTTTATGTTTTAGATCATTTATTGTTAAACAGAAATCACAAGGCAAAAATGAAGTGGGACAGAAGTCAAAGATAATTTTAGAACTTTTTTTCAGTGTGTGTCAAATATTTTCTAAGTTTAAAAGGAGGAAAAGTGTCAAATGAAAAGATGCTTGTTCAAATGAAGTCTTTTTAGACATTGGAATGAAAACCACCCATCCCTAGGAACCTATGTCATCTCTAGCAGCCATAACGTCGGCGATGGAGTGAAAAGCTTCCCTGGGACACAGCTAGTCTCTCACATGCTCTCTCAGGAACATCAGGTGAGTGAGTTTTACCAACCTCCTTTTCCACTTTGCCAACCATCGGGAATCTACTCTGGGCTGGTGACACCACCACCAGGGTGTTCCAGTATGCCACCACCCAGCTTCCAGGCCTGCAGCTTTCAGGGCAGGTTTTGAGAATCAGAGAAGATTCAAAACAGCTACACATAGCTGGCTCTAGTAAATAGCCTAACAACATAAAAACCTGCCCCCATCCACAGCAGACATCCACAGTGTCTGCTTCGACTTACTGATATGGTTCATCCTCCATCTACACCTAGAACATTCTGCCTGAACTTAACATGATCCCTCTAAGTGTCTCCAAAGGGGCAGAGCAAAGCCTTGGTGATTTTCCTAATTTAGAAAATGTATTTGCAAAAAGAAATTATATTTGCCACTTTGGTAACATTATGAAGTCTGATAGAAAATCCACTTTTGCCAATAAATGTTTTTTTTCTAAAGCCAAGTTGCTCTGAGTTTTACTGAGGAGCTTGGAGGATCCCAGTGTGGGCCCAACTGTGCTGTATCCTGGCCAACTGGAACCACGACACCAGAAGTCTCTGTGTCCAGAAGGATGAATTGAAAAGTACAACAGACTTTGTCATCTGCAGGGGACATGGACTAGGCGATGTGGCTCTAGACAGTGCCACAGTCTTTAGATAAAAGTGATTATCTTTGGACCTGCTTCCATGACGACAAGTCTCTGCTGTGGCTTCAGGGGAGCCAGTGTGCTTTAATTCTGCTTTCTGGATAGATGGAAGCTATCCACAAAGACCCAGAGATACAAGGGAAGGCAGAGCCTCAGTCACCCACTTGACGTGATTTGGGTGTATTCAAAGGAAATATGTACAGCTTGTTCTTTCCAACGCTAGAATAAACCTCAGCTTGCTGCTTACTTTCCTCCAGCACTGTGGGGCCTGGCAGGGGATTCTAAGAAGCAAGGGCTAGGCCTGGGGTAGGGGCAGGGAAGCAGGGGGCAGGTTGGTGCACACAGCACCCTCTTGCCCAGCGCTGCCCCTGCTGCTGTAGCTGGCTCAGCTGGATTCTGAAGGAAGGTGGCTGGGAAACATCTCTGATCATACCTGACTCCACAATAGTCACTTCCGAGTGTACAGTGGTACAAAAGAAAATGCCTCCCATCACCACAGTGGCAAGGTTGTGGAATCTACGTGACACTCCCTACTCCTGAATTTATCTTAGCTTAATCTGGGTGGTAAGCAACAGTCCTTGCTTTCGACAGTCCCAGTTTCGACACTATCAGAGTCCCAAGACTAAGTCCATATTTAATCATGATGATCCGAGTCACATTCAAACCTGCCTCCTCCTACCAGCAGCTGGGCTCAGGCACGGCGGCCCACAGTGGAAACCCTTTCCGCACAGCCCCCAAAGCATGTTTTTCTAAAGCATTCTTTCAGAATGCCGTTCTTCTCAAAAAGAGCCCTCTGCTGCATTTTGCCTCATGAAAAAAAAAAGGGAAAGTATTTCAAAACCCCAAAATACCTATGAGCAGAGTTACACAAGCCCAGGAGACGTTAACCAGATGCCAAACATGCTCGGCTGCACCAGAGCCTGGGCCTGAAACCAACCTTCGGGAACCAGAGGGCCGTGGTGCCTCGACCGCTAGCTGTTTGCCCAACCAACAAAAGCGGAATGGACAGAGAGTTTGTTTTAAAGGCATCTCCTTTTGTGGTTTTGTTGTTGTTGTTGTTTTTCTCCCCTAATATCAGGAAAAAGATTTTTGATAAATCTAAGAGTTTGGGTTAACAGGAAAAACAAATAGAAGCAGAAACAAAAACTGGCCCAGAACAGATTGAGGACATATGGACCTCACGGTCTACCCGAGTTAACTCTTCCTCGCCTTCCCCAGCAATGGCTGAAATTTCTTAACTCACCTTCTCTCTATTCCAGAGATTTTCCCACTTTGTTCATCAGAAAATGGAGGATGCGCTCACCTCAGCCTGCCCTGATATCACTGTCCTTTTGTTCTGCCTCTTTCTATTTTCCCATCAACTTGAGACTTTGGGGAAACTGCATCAACCAACTAGAACACCATAACACACGATCTCTCTCTCTCTCTCTCTCTCTCTCTCTCTCTCTCTCTCTCTCTCTCTCTCTC